TAGGCACCAATAGCCACCAACAAAGGCTGAGCAGGCCTTTGCTAATCTTAGGCTGTTCTTGAGGTAAAACTCACCGAGGTACCTTCTTACTGCTTGTTTCTCTTCGAGGTGTTCTTCCTTTGCTGACAGACCTTGCCGTGCGCAAATAAGGCTCATTACTGAAAACTATTAGGTGAAGTGCAGGGTTTCGCATTAACGGCCTCTATGATAGAAGTGTTTAGTGCAAATGATCACAATGGTTCTAAAGCACGCTATATATGCTACCATACGCTCTTGCATATTCAGTAGATGGGCTCAATCTACCACAGCATCGAGCCCATTCTGACACTCTGCACTTCCCTTGGATGAAGTTCGTCATGTTAGCTCGACCTCAAATTTGTCTTCAGGAGTCTGTGGTGGCCTGCTTCCAGATACCTAGCACAGGTTGAGAAGGAATGCACTTTGCCTACGAAAGTGTACTATTTCTCGAAAATTGTGTATGCAAAACATTAGAAAAGGATGGCAGGAGGCACTGCGCTATATGTGTACAACAGACAGGAGCGAACTGTGAATCACGCCATAGAGCGTGCTATAACTCAGAGTGCGACGTCGCGATCTGCATTTTTTGTCCCACTTTCGAGAGACATCGACAACTTTCGTGTGTACCAGCTTATCATGTGAGCAAATAACCATGCAACATACGCGAACTTCAATCCTATGGAGATCGATCTTCTTCTGGTGACCTCCAAAAAGCCTCACTAAAGCGGCTTTGGTAACGCGCATGGATCGTACAGGGCATACGAGAGCAGAACATTTTAGAGAGAAGATTAGGGGAGGGACGTGCACTAAACGACCATGCAGAAATTCGAATTTTGAAGCCTCAAATCTGAAATGCTGAGGGATCCATTTCGGATCGGCTCCTACAATTAGGTCGCAGTAGAGAAAATCTTATAACTTTACTGCGCTAAGGGGTGAACAAATCGTGTAGCCGTCGAAGGAAACCAGAACTAATGCTTTTTGGACAAAAACCAGAAATCAGCACAGTTTTACGCAAAGCTCTACGGGGGTGTGCGTCATATGGCGCGATCCCATTGGCTGCAGTGGCTGGACAACTCGTCCGCGCAACACATTCTGTTCCGTTCCTCTAGCCTTGGCATCAGGACAGCGAAGCTATTCGCTCTTTTTTAGACCTTTGGGACTCAGCGAGATTTTTGAGACCTTATCGATCAATTACTGAAGTCAAGTAGTTGAGTGATACGGACGAGTTGTCCGGCCGCAGCAGGATGGGGCAATTGCGGCCTGTGCGCTCCAATGCCAATGGGATCGCGCCATATGACCGCCTCCCTCCGGTTTTCGCTAACTCACTTATCTTCAACTATCATTCTGATAGTGGGTTGAACTAACCGTGGCAATTTAGCTTGACTAACCGTGGCAATTTAGCATTCATTTCCACTCCTTCTTCTGGTGGGGTAGTTTGTGTGCTAACACATCTTGCCGTATATGTTGGAGATTCAGTGCTGAAAAGAAAAGCTCATGGCGGATCGAATTGATGTTATTGGGCATGATTTCCTCCTTTCTGCCATTATTTCTTGAAACACATTCACGACGACGCCCCTTTTCCACTTTTCGGTCGCAAGCTGGGACGCGACGCTCTATGGGCGCGTCACCTCACCCATAACACAGATTGTTATGTAATTGTAAGCCGAAAAATAGGTTCGCAACAGATATGGCCGCACTAGACGGTATGGTTAACCGAACACCGAATCGAACGAAAATCAATTTATTAACGAACAACAGCAACAATTAAAAGAACGGCGTTGTAAAAACAATAAGAACGGCGTATAGCAACAAACGGAATTCTTGCGCAGACGTCGAACAAGGCGGTTGTGGTCGGGGAGGGTCACTGAGTTCCCTGTAACGAGTTTCACCAAGCCTCTAGGGGGTTCCTCCACCACCTAGTGCAGATCCTTCTTTGCCACTTAGGCTACTAGCTTCAAAGGGGGGTTTTCCCACTTAGGCCCCCACACACAAGCTACAAAATCCGCAATTGGCCACGTAGGCCACTTGAACCACGAGCACACAGAAAAGAATAAGAAAAATAGAGCAGACCCGAAGAATCTCTCCAAGACACCAAGCGGTATCCTTATATGCGCCCTCTCCCGCGCCAACAACCCGCCCGATCAAAGAACGTGGGTCACTAGTTGACCCCTTACAGGGCCTTGCGCTTCAGGGGCCCTCTCTCGTATGCATCCGCCTTCTCCGACATGCCCCCCGGCGCTTAGTCGCCGTCCTCGGCGACTGCTCCAGCTCGGGAAGCTGGAACTTTTCAGCTTTCCTTCCTTATAACTCCGTATAATGATTTCGCCGCTGCAACTCCTGAATATGCGTTATAGAATTGGGCAGCTCCTTCTGGGGAGCCAGCAGCTATGAATACTTTACCATTTCTCACAAAATTATTGGCAGTACTGATGACTTGTTCGTCGCCACCCAATCTGAAAAATGCGTCATCCAGAGTTTTCCACAGCTTTGTCATAGATATCCATTTCTCCATGTTGGGCGCGGTTATCGGTGTCCACGCTGTCACAACGCGGCCTCCTTCTTCCAGATGGTTCTGGACGAGCTTCACTATTTCACGTAGAAGTTCCGTGTGTCCATTGTTTTCCAAAGGAAAGACTATGATCCATGTTCCAAATGTGGCCCATTCGAGCAAGTGTTTGTTTGAGAGCTAGATATGACGTGACAACCTTGGTTATAAGCCCTCCTCGAGGGGCCGTCTTTCTCCAGTAACAGCGCTGTTTCAGGCGCGGCGTATCCTGTGGGTCCTTGCTTTTGCTTTCTGGATGCCCTTGCTTCTTTTGCGAGATCCCATTTGAGCTGTTGAAAAGCGTTCCTATAAAAGTCGATCACGCAGTTATCTTCAATTGGTTCGTGTTTTGCTACCGATGACGTTGTACAGACAAACTCAGTCCAGTCTGTACACACTGAATAAGCTAGTTTTAACGTTTTCTTCAGCGCCTCCTGGTCCAGCGATACGACTCGCTCCTTGAAAAATCCGATCTTCTGAGAGGTCGTCAAATCTTCCCGGATGAATATGGAAGCTGCCTTCCAGGCCGACCAGACGTCTCCAAAAGGCTGTCTGCCGTATGCTCCTGGGAACTTGATCCCTTCGATATCCGATAATGTTGTTTTTGGCGAAGCATTCGTCGAGGCATTGAAACTGAAGGTGGCCTCTCTCAGCGGCATTCGTCAGAACCGCACCTCTGAAATTTGCAACATAAGTCTTACATACTCGCACCTTCGTTCTTCTACCTTTACGGCCTCTGACGTGTGCTGTGTCTATACGCTCGTCCGAGATCTCCTTAGGGACTAATCTCAACATGTCAAATTGTATTCGAATCGGTTCCGTGTCTTCCCCAATTCTACTTACTAGTGCGAGTTTTCACTCACTTCTATTACCGGAATGGTCCCGCCCATTCATTTACTAACTTAGGGTGCGTTTGCCGTGTTTTCTCTCCCGGCGAAAAAACATACACGCGATCTCCTATCTTTGGGAATCTTTTGCCTTCTACCTTATTCTGGGTGTCATACTCGTCTTCATCCGCTCTCTCACACGACTATTATATTCTTTCACTCTTTCATGAGTCTCCGCGACTGCCTGTAGAATTTCCGCCTTGTAGTCCCCCCATGACTTATCCATGGAATACCAGCTCACCCCTGCGTTGGGTATCACTTCCGACGGAAAAATCGGATCTGTCCCATGGAGCAGGAAGTAGGGGCTTTCCCCCGTCGCGCGGTGTGGCACCATATTGTAGGCCATCATGCAGAATGGCAGCCTGGTATCCCACTCCGTAGGGATTACAGTGGATTTCCTCAGCATGGCAACAATAGTGCCATTCAGTCTTTCTGTGAGACCGTTCTCCCGCGGGTTATACCCTTTTGTGGTTAGGTGCTCGATTTTCGTAATCCTCGTGATCTCCTGCATTACCTGGTTAACGAACTCACCACCCCTGTCGGATAGTATTTTCCTGGGCCACCGACACCCGTCCGCTATCCATCTGGTGAAAAAGGTTCTTGCGATAGTCTCCGCCGACTTGTTCGGTACGGGATAAGCAGCCGCATACTTCGAGAAATGGTCTATAACCGTAACGGCATATCTATTTCCTTTAGTTGTAGGACCCAACTCTAGCACATCGATCCCAACTATCTCGTATGGTTTGGATGTTACAATCGGTTTTAGAGGTGGAACCATCGCCTGGTGTGGGTTGTGCACAAAGCATTTCTGGCACTCCTTCGTCCACCTATGAACATCTTGCACCATTCCTGGCCAGTAAACCTCTTTGGTCAATTTTCCCAGTAACTTCTGCGCACTGAAGTGACCCGCGAATAGTCCATTATGCGCTTCGTAGAAAACCTCGTATCTGTGGGCTCTGGGAACCACAAAGACAATTCTACCATCTTCCCGATACAGCTTCAGTTCTCCTTCTTCTAAGACAAAATCAGCTATCCTCAGCGGTCTCTTTTCACCTACTATCTGAACCACTTCGTCCAACTTCCCTTCCTCTACCAACCGCACTACTTCGCCAAACTGGGGGTCGTCTCTCAACTGCGCAAGCCACTTCGAGTCTTTTTTCACAGTCACAGCGTTCACTACAGCTTCATTAACACCTGTAAGGGACTCCGAAGTAATCGATGCAGGTTTTCCTCTACTGAGGGCGTCCGCCACTGCATTTGCTTTGCCCTTCACATACAAGATCTCCAACTTATACCTTTGCAGTTCAAGGGACCACCTCAGGACCCTTGCTGACACGTTGGTGCGCTTAAAGAGTGCAGTGAGGGGCTGGTGATCGGTCATCACTATGGTTGGAGACCATAGATAAACATATGGAACCTTCTTACTGCAAAGACTACGGCAAGCGCTTCCAAGTCCGTGATATGGTACCGACGTTCCGCTTTACTTAGACTTTTGGATGCGAAGAAAACGGGATGCACTTGCTTGTCTTCCCCTTCTTGGGATAGGACTGCACCCAGGCCATACGTTGATGCGTCTGTGCAGATGATAAACGGCCTCCTCCCTGTGCGCGCCCCTTCTATGTCTGGTTGTTTCAGCACTGGGCCCGTGCTTATCATCTCCTTGATTTTCCCGAACGCAACCTCGTGCTCTTCCTCCCAGGACCACTTACTCTTCGACGATGTTAGGCTGAACAGGGGTCCTGCTTGCTTTGAGAACCCGAAACAGAATTTCCTGTAGAAAGATGCCATACCAAGAAAAGTTCGCAACTCTTTAACGTTCCTCGGGGTCGGGTACTCTTTAACTGCTGCAACTTTTTCTGGATCCATGTGGACCCCATCACCATCTATCACATGACCCAAAAAGGTGACCTTCCTCCTTAACAGGTAACACTTCTTAGCCTTCAACCGTAACCCTGCATCTTTTAACCGGGCAAACACCTCCTTAAGCAACTCTATGTGGCGCTCTTTTGTGGTTGTACACACCATTATGTCGTCTATGTAACAGAACACCTCTGACCCCAACAGCTCTCCCAGAACAGAATCCATTAATCTTTGAAACACGGCCGGGCTCGTGCTCAAGCCAAACGGCGTGACTCTGAAGTGGAAGAGACCGTCCGGTGTAGTGAAAGCGGTTTTCTCCTTATCTTCTTCCGCCAGAGGTATTTGCCAATACCCACTGCACATATCTAATGTCGAGAAAAAGCTCTTCCCTGATAGACTCTGCAAAACGGCTTCTATACTAGGGAGTGGGTATGCATCCAGCTTGATGTTTTTGTTGAGTTCCCTGTAGTCTACGCACAACCGGATGGACCCATCCTTTTTTTCCACCAGAACTATAGGGAACGCCCAGTCGGATTTACTCGGTTCTATCACCTTCCTTGTGACCAAATCCGCCAGTAGTTCTTTCAACTTTGCCCGTACACCTAATGGTACCGGTCTTGTCTTCATTTTGATTGGGGTGGTACTCCCTGTATCGATTGTCATATAAGCTAAATCAGTTTGGCTAAGTTCTTGGTCTGAAATCGAGAATGCATCAGCGTAATCCTTAACTAACTTCTGGACATCTCGATCCATCTGTCCTCCTTCCATGTTCACAGAAATAAGCGCCTCAAGTTCACGTATCCTTTCGGGACCCGTTAGCTTATCTTCTTCCTCAACTGGCATCAGCGGATTCTCGCAACTACCATGCCACTTATCTGTGTCCCAGTACCCTACTTGGTCACCCTCTTTCAACAGCATGGGTTCATTACTATTGTTGTGTATGGGCACTGTCGTTTTTTTCTCCCTGATGGTGTACACCCCTGCAGCCATACCTTGCCGGCTTGGCCATAACACCTTTTCCGATGTGCAGCTTTCCTCTCCCTCACAGAATACTTCCACAAGTGCTTTGTCCCTGGGTGGTATATACCGTCTTCCCACTACTAATACCTTGTTAACACTTTCTTCCTCTCGGGTGCTTGCTTTCCGTTTTCCCATCGAAACCTCAATGCCTAGTCTCTTTAGCGCATTTGTTCCTAGTATCACCTCACTTCCCTTCTGTGGGCTCACATGGAACGCAACCTCTTGTGCCTCTCCGCCAGCTACTGTGACCTTTATATAGACAGCTGCTAGAAAATTCATTCTATTATTCGACGCATCGAAAACCGGTCTTAGTTCAGACTTGGGTATCATTGTCCACGAATCTACATCAAATCCCTTGTCCTGAATTCTTGCCAGCAGACCTACCGGGACAATGCTGATCATGGATCCGGTGTCCACTAATGCTTCACATCTTTCTCCCTTCACTTCCAAGGGCACTGTGATCCGTTGCCCTATAAGGTCCCCTGTCTCAGTCGGACTCTCTTTGACTGCCACTCCCATACACCTAGCTTGTTTGATGATTGATGAGAGCGTTTCCTGCTTTTGGGTAGGTGCCGAATTCTTGGGCTCAATTTGATTTACCCTCGTTGTTCGTAGTGGACACTCCCGCGCCACATGGCCATACCGTGAGCAGCTGTAGCATTTCCTGTTTTCTGAGGGGACTCGACTGCTAGAGTCCTGTCTCAGCTCTTGTGGTGACCCGACTGCCTTTCTCGACTCGCCTACTGGTCCCCTGCTACGCGGCTCTCTGTCCTTATTTCTTTCTTCCCTACCTGGTTCCGTTGATGCCATCGAGTGAGCTGCCCTTCCTTCCCTGCCTTCGTGATACTGTGCGGACCTAACCCTCCACGTCGGCACGGTATCCTTCCTGTGTGTCGCTAAGATCAGTTTAGATTGCTCAATACTCAAGGCTAAGCTCTTTATCTCTTCATATGCCTTCCTGGGCTCGACCTTATGAAGAGCTCCCACCAATTGGAAATGTTCGGGCCAGCCACTTAGGTTATCCAGGAGTATCTGAGCATACTCCATAGAATGGTCTTCCAACGTGCCCTCGGGGTTCGCCTGCCTCCCTAGCTTTTCTAGCACCACACAGAACTCAGCCACGTCTTGGTTGGGTCGCAGCCTCAAATGCTTTAAATCATTCAAGGCTCTCATTCTGCTAGCCGTTGAGTCGCACGCCAACAGCTTGCACATCTCGTTGACGACGGCTTCGAAGCCCCTCTCCCTGACTATACGAGGCAGTGACATGAAAATATTTTTAGCCCGTCCCGTAAGGTGATCATCAGACAAAATATCAATTAACGTAGCCTCACAGCTTATGATATTTTCGTACCTTCTTTTGAACTTCCTTATGAACTCTTTGAAATTTTCATTCCTACCTCCTTTGAAAACCCCTGGGTCGGCACACGTCATAGCCCGTAAATAATTAATTAAATGAGAGTTAACGTCCGCACCTGCGTTTTCCCTCATTGGAGTTGTCGAATTCGAAGCCCTTGACTGCCTGCTCCAGCTCTCCGCATATCGCGGTCCAATCGAACAAGGGTTCGCCTGCAATGATTCACTGTATTGTCTCACATTATCACATCCAAAAGCGTCTAATTCGTCATGCACACCTGCGCACTTGTTCTCCCCACCGTGCTCGAGGAGGCTTCCGACACAATCATTGATCTGCAATGGGTTCACTTTCAACAGATCACATAGTTTTGATACAATTTCCCCATCTCGCTCCATTGTGGCTATGTATTCCTCCCAATCCACCTCACTCTCAATCCCTCTTTCTTCCATCGTCTTCTTTATCGAACTCGTAAGTGCAGCTCCTGCGGATGGGTTGTGCGCCTGTTGTTTGCAATAGTTTCTGACCGCTTCCACCATCCTGCCCCACTCACTTTCTATGTCCGCTTTGGCCTGCTTCGAGGCCTTACTCTCACCTACTATGATCATTATTCTTCGATGCCCCTCACTAAGAATCTTGGCCACTCCACTCCACTCTCTTTCTTCACTTTCTTTTGATAAACAGTCATGCAAACTACTTACTTCATGGGGTGCCATGTTTTCTTCCCCCATCGGCTCGTCGTGGGCACCGCTCATCCTGGAACGAGCAAGATCACTTAACTTACTTTGAATTCTCTCACGACGGCAAATAACGCGACTCTCCAAAGCAAGAGTGCCCTTCTCTTCTGATTTCAAGCCGAAGCTTTATGCTGAACGGTACCCTTGCTTTGCAGTACCTTCACCAATAATCGACGGAACGAGTGAAACGAATACTCGAACGATTCGGCGGTCAAATCGATAAACGCAACGCCAATTCCTTCTTTCTTGGCGCCTTCTCGCAGCACCTTTTCGGCCGCTGACTCTTTGGGTAACAATCGATAATCAATAAAACCGATCTCTACTGCAGCCAAATCAGTTGCTCGGTTCGGCCCCCATGTAAGCCGAAAAATAGGTTCGCAACAGATATGGCCGCACTAGACGGTATGGTTAACCGAACACCGAATCGAACGAAAATCAATTTATTAACGAACAACAACAACAATTAAAAGAACGGCGTTGTAAAAACAATAAGAACGGCGTATAGCAACAAACGGAATTCTTGCGCAGACGTCGAACAAGGCGGTTGTGGTCGGGGAGGGTCACTGAGTTCCCTGTAACGAGTTTCACCAAGCCTCTAGGGGGTTTCCTCCACCACCTAGTGCAGATCCTTCCTTGCCACTTAGGCTACTAGCT